CAGGAATGAGGAATTAGAGAAGCTGAGATTGCGTTCCTAAGAGCCAAGAAGAGTGAAGGAACTTGATAGAATTTATAAAAATAGTAAGAGTTGGGATAGAAAAAATGGACATTGTTTCCAATGGCTCAAGGGTTGATGATCAGGTGCCCATATTTAACTTATTTTAAGTTGATTGCCAAAAAAAAGCATGAAAAATGATTACACAAGCAATGGTTCAGATTTGGAAAGCACTCCCTCTGATATCATGACAGAGACAGATTCAAATTAGCGTTCAAAAGGAAACTGGATAGACAGTCTGAGAAATAAAAAAGGTAAGAATAGATAAGGAGAAGGGCACTGTTGTAAAACTGACTGGATTTCATTTTGAAAGAAGTAACATGGATATGAAGGGTTGAATGGCCTCCTTTGTGCTGCATTATTCTTTCTGGTGGAGCTAAAAAGTATTGCAAAGGCTCTCGACAGAAGTTGTACAGTTTTTAAAGGGAGGGGGTGGGGATGGAAGTGGCAGGCAGATAAGGGACCTGGAATCAGAGAGAAGCACCAGGCCTCATGTTTTGTCTTCCTGGTCCTTAGTTGGAAAAGCTGTTCTTGCCATTTAGGGACCCAAATTAAATCGAAAGTGATTGTAAAGCAGGGATACACTTTCTGCTAATTGGAGTCATACTTGGCACAAGTGAAGATGATTGTGATTGTTGGAGGCCAAACATATCAACCCCTCTGAAGGAGCCCCTCAGGGTAGTGTCCTAAGCCCAACCATCTTTGGCTGCTTTATCAATGACTTTCCCTCCATTGTAAGCTCAGAAATAAGGATGTGCAACCAATAGTGAACAACATTCAGCACCATTCACAGGCCTTCAGATACTGAAGCAAATGCAACAAGATTGGGTAAACATTCAGACTTCAACTTGTACATATAATGTATCATTTGTGCGACACTAGTGTCAGGAGATGATCAGTTCCAATCAGAGAATCTCCCTTTGACATTCAATGCAGTTGCTATCATTGAATTGCCCATGATCAACATCCTGGGAGATTCAATTGGTCAACAATCTAACTGGACCAGCCATGCAAATACAATGCTAACAAAAACTTGTTGGAGGCTGTGGATTCTATGTAGATAACTCCCTGCCTGACTTTCTGCCACCCGTCTACAATATGCTAGCAGCAACTGCAATGGGATACACTACAAAAACCTGAATTTGTGAGGCTCCTTCACTCGAGCAGCTTGAAGCTGTTCAAAACCAGCACCTCATTCACCTCCTGGAACATTTGTGCTCTCTACAACTTGTGTACAGTGGCAGCAGTGCTAACCATTTACAAGATGCACTACAGCAACACAGAAACTCTTGACAGCACCTTCCAAACTGATGACCTGTACCATTTATAAGGACATGGGCAGCAGATGCATGAGAACGCTACAACCTGCAAGTTCTCCTGAACTGAATTGAATTAGCTTTATTGTCATGTGTTCAATGAGTACAGCGAAAAGTTTATAAGTCACCACTTATAGGGCCACCTGAGGTACAAAGGTACCTAGGTACAATCCTTAGTTACAGAATGGAGAAATGAAGAAAAACAAAGTTGCATTACAGCTATATATAGGTCAGAAAAACAAGAAGCAAAGTTAAAAAGACAAACATCACAGTCTCTCTCCAAAGGCTGTCCACAGCAGACTCGTCCTCTAGACACAATCATGGAAAGAATGTCTGTTCTGCCTCTTACTACCTGTAATTATTGTTTCTTACCTTTGCATCCCAATTAAAATTTCAGCAACAACATTTTGAAAGTTTAAAGTATAGTTGCTTATTCACGCAATTCTTGTAAGTAACATTCGCGCCACACCATTGCCTGATAATCTGACCACTGCCCTTTAACATTCAATGGCATTACCATTACTGAATCCCCTACTATCAACATCCTAAGATTATCATTGACCAAAAATTTAATTGGACTGCCGCATTAATACATTGGCCACAACAGCAGGACAGAGGCTGGGAATTCCGCAATGAGTGACTCACCTCTTGACTCCCCAGAGCCCTTTAGCCATCTAGAAGTCACAAGTCAGAATTGTGATGAAATGCTCCCCACTTGCCTGGATGAGTGTAGCTCCAACAATACTCAAGACGTTTGACACCATCCAGACAAAGTAGCTTGATTTGCACCCCATTCACAAACATCCACTCCCCCTACCACCTACTTTCAATATACACTGCTGCTACTATATACAACATGCACTCCACAAATTCATCAAAGATCTTGAGACAGCACCTTCCAAACCCATGACTACTTTCATCTGGAAGGAAAGAGCAGCAGATACATGAGAACACCACCACCGCCTACCAGTTCTACTCCAAGCCATTCACTTGGAAACATGTTCATTCAGTTTTGCTGGGTCAAAATCTTGGTATTCCCTTTCTAATGCATGTGGATCTGCCTACAGCATGGGGACACCAGTGTTTAAGAAAGCAGCCTTTTCAAGAGCAACTAAGGACATGCAATAAATGCTGGTCCAGCCAATGGTGCCCACATTCTGTCAGTGAATTTAAAAAAAAATTACCTTGAACTAATGCAAAATTATTCACTTGGTCTCCCTCTCTAGCACACAAAGAAATATTGTGCATATTTACAGATTACAGTTAATTCATTTGCTGATTCATAATTTTCTGTCTTCCATATCACAGGTCTGTGGTTTCTTGCATGAATTTGATCATTTAAAGTTAAAGTGAGGGGCTTTTGAAGCAAAGGCTTCACATCAGGTTGTGAGGTTCTTTGCAGTTGAATATCTAGCAGGGTAGTTCTCAGGTGAACTTTGAACTTGAGTAGGTTATGTACTTTGAGCGCTTGTAGACTTCCAGTCAGTTTCTGAATCTGGTTTCCTAGACTGGCTGTTGACTGGTTCTTCTGATGACTGCTGGATTTGCCTAGATTCTAGCTGATCATTTAACCACACAAAGAAAGCATGTAGCTGTTTACAGGTTCAAAGTCTTCCATTTCCCCATCCATCCATCCTCTTCCCCCATCCCTATCTGTCCTGTGTTCCCCTCCCCTGCATTCCAACCTGACCGTTCTCAGTCCTCTCCTCTCCCCAACTGTTCTCCTACCCACACATTTGTCCTTCCTGATCCCTTCCAGTCCTCTGCTCTACCCCCAAACATCCTGTCCCCAACCACCACCGCCAAACCCTACCCCTGCCCAATCCGTCCTCTCTCAGCAATAGTGAATGTGAACATACTCTAGTATCTGAATGTTCAGCCTGATGGCTAGAGTTGGATGGAAGGAGTCGTGATGCACTGAGCAGCCGCAGAGGTCAATAGGAAATGTCATGTGAGGATTCATGTACTGACATGAGCCACCCAGATGAGAAATTTCTGGCACCGCAACTTGGTGCTTGGGTCCAGACACTACGATTTGACCTCTGAGGCTGCTTGTTTCCACGTAGTTCAGGAAGGCATTCAGGCCTCCAGAGGGAAACATTGTCTCACTCTTCATGTTCACACCCTTGACGCAAACCTGCTTTGATGAAGTATGCATCGTTGGAGCTGTTTTAGTCTTCCAATTCCATTCCATAAATTTTCAGCACCAGCAGTTAACAATGTTAATGAGACTGCTTTTCAGAACTGGATGTGTGCTGTAAATCATGCTTTCCTCAGTTGCTCCTGATTATGGTGCAGTCAGTGACATTGTTCAGTACTCAGGAACCATTTAAATAAGGACAGGGCTGGATGAACACAGCAGGCCAAGCAGCATCATAGGAGCAGAGAGGCTGACGTTTCGGGCCTAGACCCTTCATCAGAAAAGGGGGAGGGGAAGGGGGTTTTGAAATAAATAGGGAGAGAGTGGGCCGCAGGAAGTGCTACACCTGCCCCCATACCTCCTCCCTCACCCCCATCCCAGGCCCCAAGAAGACTTTCCACATCAAGCAGATGTTCACCTGCACATCTGCCAATGTGGTATACTGCATCCGCTGTACCCGATGTGGCTTCCTCTACATCGGGGAAACCAAGCGGAGACTCGGGGACCGCTTTGCAGAACACCTACGCTCGGTTCGCAATAAACAACTGCACCTCCCAGTCGCGAACCATTTCAACTCCCCCTCCCATTCCTCAGACGACATGTCCATCCTGGGCCTCCTGCAGTGCCACAACGATGCCACCCGAAGGTTGCAGGAACAGCAACTCATATTCCGCTTGGGAACCCTGCAGCCCAATGGTATCAATGTGGATTTCACAAGTTTCAAAATCTCCCCTCCCACTACCGCATCCCAAAACCAGTCCAGCTTGTCCCTGCCTCCCTAACCTGTTCTTCCTTCCACCTAGCCCCTCCTCCCACCTCAAGCCGCACCTCCATCTCCTACCGACCAACCTCATCCCGCCCCCTCGACCTGTCCGTCCTCCCTGGACTGACCTATCCCCTTCCTAACTCCCTACCTACACTCACCTTTACTGGCTTCATCCCCGCCTCTTCGACCTGTTTGTTTCCTCTCCACCTATCCTCTCCTCTATCCCTCTTCTATCCGCCTCCCACTCTCTCCCTATTTATTTCAAAACCCCCTTCCCCTCCCCCTTTTCTGATGAAGGGTCTAGGCCCGAAAAGTCAGCCTCTCTGCTCCTATGATGCTGCTTGGCCTGCTGTGTTCATCCAGCCCTGCACCTTGTTGTCTCGGATTCTCCAGCATCTGCAGTTCCTACTATCTCTAAATAAGGACAGCTTGGGTTTTGTGTGCTTTGGCCTCCATTTGATTCAGGCAGATCATAAATTGTGATACCTGAGGAAAGGATTTAACAAATTTAACCCCTGATATTCAAAGATATAATTTTTAAAAATGTTTTGATGTTTATACAAGCAAGGATTGAAGGGATATGCATTTACTGTTGAGATGGATTGAAAATTCATTGCCAGGCTAGGTCTCGTCTGATTTCATTTCTGCTTATTTTCATTTCTCCAAGGTCATTTCTCATTGTGGCTATTTAATCTTCAGATATCATAACTTTGTTTTGTAGAAGTCAGGCAGCGAGGCTGATATGCTAAGTGAGACGGACGAACAAAAAATGGAAGAAATGTCACTCCAAGAATTCATCAAGAGTAAGTCAAGTTGAAGCTATTTTGAACAAATGTGTGACTTTTCCTTGATCCTGTTTCTTGTCTATCAAAGCAGCAGCTGACAGCTACACCTTGTGGCTCCGGTTCCTGGAAACTGCAATTTAGGAATTCTACGCCCTGTTTTGTGCTCCCTCTGCCCTGGATTGGATCAGGTCTGCGTGCTGTACACAGTCCAGTTCGCACACATTTGCTAAGATGGTGTTAAAGATAGTATTGGCTAACTAACAGAAGGCAAATATAAACTAGAAGAAGCAAAGAACTATGGATGCTGGACCCTTGGAGTTTCATAGAATCATTGAATTCTAACAGTGTGGAACCAGGCCATTTGGCCCATCAGGTCCACATTGACCCTCTGAAGACCATCTTCCCCAGATCCAAATTTTCCTCCTGCCCGGTTCTCCTATCTCTGCAACCCTACATTTCCCATAGCTAGCCCACCCAGCCTGCACATCTCTGGATACTTTGGACAATCTAAAATGGCCAATCCACCTAACCTGCACATCTTTGGATGAGTCTAGTTGAGTTTCTTTTGAATGATACACCCCCAGGATATTGATAGTGGGAGATTCAGTGATTGAATGTCAAGTGGCAGTGGTTATATTGTGTCTTATTGGAGCTGGTCATTGTCTGGCATTTGTGTTGCATAGATGTTACTTGCCATTGTCAGCCCAAGCCTAGATGTTGTTGCATTTGAACATGGACTGCTTTAGTATCTGACAAGTCATAAATGATATGGAACATTGTTCACCAATGATTGCACATCCCCATTTCTGAACTTATGGTGGAGAGAAGTTATTGAAGAAGCAGCCGAACATGGTTGGGCCTAGGACACTACCTTGAGGAACTCCTGCAGAGTTGTCCTGGGGTTGAGATGACTGACCTCCAACTATCTTCCTTTGTGCCAGGTATGACTCCAACCAGCAGAGTGTTTGTCCACTGATTGCCATTTACTCCAGTTTTGCTAGGACTCTCAGTTGAATATAGCGTTGATGTCAAGGGCTGTCACGATCACTCACCTCTGGAATACAGATCTTTTATCCATGTTTGAACCAAAGTTGTAATGAACTCAGGAGCTGAGAGGTTCTGACAGAACCCAGACAGGGCATCACTTATCAGGATATTGCTGAGCAGGTGCTGCTTGATAGCACTGTTGATGACACTTTCCATGACTTTACTGATCGAGAGTGGACTCTGGGACAGGAAATAACAGAGTTGGATTTGTCCTGTTTTTTGTTTATAGGAAATCTTCCATATTGTCAGGTAGATGCCAATGTTGTTACTGTACTAGAAGAGCTTGGCTAGGGGAGTGGCATGTTCTGGAGCACAAGTCTCCAGTACTATTGCCAGAATGTTGTCAGGGCCCATAGCCTTTGCGGTATCCTGTACCTCCAACAATTTCCTGATATCATGTGAACCAAATTGAATTAGCTGAAGACTGGTATCTATAATGCGGAGGACCGCTGATAGGGCTGAAACAGACCATCCACTTGGCTGAAAATTGCCGTGAATGTTTCAGCCTTACCTTTTGAACTAATGTGTTGGGCTCTTCGTTCATTGAGGTTGGGGAGATTTGTGGACCCTCCTCCGATGAGTTATTTAATTGTCCACGACTGGATGTGGCAGGACTGCAGAGCTTAGACCTGATCTGAAGGTTGTGGGATTGCTTAGGTTTATCTATCACTTGCTGCTTGGCACGCAAATAGTCCTGTCTGGTAGCTTCACCAGGTTGACACTTGATTTTTAGGTATGGATGGTGCTGTTCCTGAAATGGCCATTCTGCAGTCTCCATTAAACTAGGGTTGATCCCCTGGCTTGATTGTAATGGTTAAGTGGGGGATATGTAAGGCCAGAAGGTGGCAGATTGTGCTGAAGTACAATTCTGTAGCCGTTGATGGCCCACCTCATGGATGCCTAGTCTTCTTTCTCAATGTGTTCAAAGTCTGTTCCATTTAGTACAGTGATAGTGCCACTCAGCATGTGGAGGGTATTCTGAACGTGAAAGCGGAATTTCAGCTCCACAAGGACTGTGCAGTGGTCAATTTTGCTGATATTGTTACTGATAGATGCATCTGAAGCTGGCAGATTGGCAAGGATGAGGTCAAGCACGTATTTCCTTCTTGTCTGTTTCCTCCTCACCTGCCGCAGGCCCAATCTAGCAGTTACTTCCTCTGGAACCCAACAAGCTCAATCATTAGTGCTGCTTAGAGTCAATCTTGGTGGTGGGCATTGAAATCCCCCATTCAGAGTACACTTTGGACCCTTGCCATCATCAGTGCTTCCTCCAAGTATTGTTCAACATGGTTCATGATTCATCAGCCAAGAGAGGAATAATCAACAGGAGGTTTCCTTGCCCATATTTAACCTGAAATCATAAGACTTTATGGGGTCCAGAATCTATGTTGAGGAGTCCCAGGACAACTCCCTCCTGACCATATACCACTGCCCTCAGCCTCTGCTGGGTCTGCCCTGCCTGTGGGACAGGACATAACTAGGGATGGTGATGGTGATGTCTGGGAAATTGTCTGTAAAGTATGATTCTGTGAGACTGACTATGTCAGTCTGTTGCTTGACTAGTCTCGGAGACAGCTCCCCCAATTTTAGCACCAGCCCCCAGTGTTAGTAAGGAGGACTTTGCAGGGTTTGCAGGACATTTCCTTTGCAGGCTTCTCTCCCTGTCTAGGTCGATGCCTACAAGATGATCAGAGGATTAGATAAGGTGGACAGTGGGAGCCTTTTTCCTCGGATGGTGATGGCTAGCACGAGGGGACATAGCTTTAAATTGAGGGGTGAGAGATATAGGACAGATGTCAGAGGTAGGTTCTTTACTCAGAGAGTAGTAAGGGCATGGAATGCCCTGCCTGCAAAAATAGTAGACTCGCCCACTTTAAGGGCATTTAAATGGTCATTGGATAAACATATGGATGATAATGGAATAGTTTAGGTTAGATGGGCTTCAGATTGGTTTCACAGGTCGGCGCAACATCGAGGGCCGAAGGGCCTGTACTGCGCTGTAATGTTCTATGTTCTATGTTCTATGTTCTATGCCAAGTGGTCAGTCTGCTTTCATTGATTGATACAATTGAGTGGCTTCTTAGGCCATTTCAGAGCCAACCACATTGCTGTTGGTCTGGACTCACATAGAATCCCTACTTTGCCGAAGGAAGCCATTTGGGCCATCGAGTCTGCACTGACCCTCTGAAGAGCATCCCACCCGTGCCCATTCCACCCACCACCACCCCGCCAACCTTATTCCCTGTAATCCTGCATTTCTGATGAATGATCCACCTAATCTATACATCCCTGGGCACCATAGCATGGTCCATCCACCTAACCTGCACGTCTTTGGACTATGAGAGGAAACCGGAGTACCCAGAGGAAACCGACGCAGACACGGGGAGAACGTGCAAATTCCACACAGAAAGTTGCCCGAGGGTGGAATCAAACCCAGTTCCCTGGCACTGTGAGGCAACAGTGCTAATCACTGAGCCAAAGTGCCACCCTTAAAATATACATGAGGATGGCAGAAATCCAGATGGGTTTTTCTGTAACAATTGACAATGGTTCATGGTGATGATTAGATTATTAATTCCAGATTTTTTTTATTGAATTCAAATTGCACCATTGGCAGGATTTGAACTTGGGTCCCCAGAACATTATCTGAGTTTCTGGATAAACAGTCGATTGACAGACCATTGCCTTCAAATGGCTTATGCTCTTTGTGTTCTGGTTTGCATGCTTCTGTGATCTGGTTTGTGAGCTCCCTGTGAAGTTACTCGAAGGAGTTGGGAAATTAAAATGTATAACTCTAATTTGAAAGTAAGAATTAAGCTGCATTTCTATTAATTGATAACAGCAGAAAAAATACATTATATTATACTTATAAGCATTAATTTGATCAATAGAGGAGTGGCATGACAGGTGTAACTCCTGGAGTGCACATCCTGTTCCATGTGGGAACTCTAGGACTTTTCCTGTAACCTGGAGAACCACATCTGCAGGAAGTGTTACCTGTCAGCTACCACAGATCTAGGCCTGGTTTCAGAACTCGGGAAGTAGCTGGTGTGACTGTGGTATATCCAAGAGATTAAGAGGTTTGTAGACAGCACATGTGGAGTATTCAGAAAAAAAGGGAGCACGTACCTACTAAGCAATCAAGGGAGAAAGGACATGTGGTGCAGGGATCAGTCACACATATACATCCCATTTTGAGTACTGATGAATCTCAGAATCACAAAAGTGTAAGGATAGAGAAGAAGGCTATTTGGCCCATTGTGCCTGCACCGATGAGAGTGATGGTTCATCTAGGGAGTATCAGCATTGGCTCAGCTGTACGTGGGGATTATAAGGAAAGTTGAAAGAAAAGCTGTGACAGGATTGGAATTTAGAAGACTTAGATGTGAGCTCATGAGAGATATTGGATTCTTAAAGGGCTTGATAGGGTAAACTTTGAGAGGATGTTTCCCTAATGAGAGAGTCAAGGACCAGACAATACAGTGTCAGAATAAAGGGGACATTAATTTAAGACTGAGATGAAGAGGAACCTCTTCTCTCAGACATTGAGTGTCTTTGAAACTCCTTGCCACAGAGAGCAGAGTTCTTCTGTATATTTAAGACTGAAATAGACAGATTCATGATCAGTAGGGGAATCAAGGGTTATGGGAAAGGGCAGGAAAGTAGACGTGAGGAGCACAGGATCAGCTATGATCCTATTAATTGGAGAGCAGGCTTGAGGGACCAGATGGCCTACTGCTGTTCTTATTCCTTGTGACCTTAGGATCTTATTAGAGATTTGTTGGTTATAGGAATAAATGAACATTTCTGACTTGACTTTAATCCAGGATGGTGTGTGCCTCCTTGGCATTCGGATCAGGGATGTCACTGAGAGGCTGCACTGCACCCTGAGGGGATTGGGTGACTAGCCAGCAGTCATGATCCATATCAGTACCGTTGGCTTATAGAAAGCAGCATATAGTCCTGCAGTC